TGAACGCACATCTGATATTTTTGCCCATTATATTTATATGTTTAATTAAGGGCTGTTAGCGCACAAATCCTAACTTTTGTTGGTAAACCTAGAGCTGGGTGCTCCCAAGGCTACATTTGGATGGTTCTGCCTCTAGATGAGCAAAATGTAGCCCTAAATGAGTAGCAAGAATAGCCTTGGATACAATTATCTTCAGATCTACTTAGAATGTAATGGACATTCTCCTGTTAATGTTTGTAGAATGGTTTTGATGTATCAATTTCTAGCATTCAGAATTTAATTATTTATCTTCTGTTTACTAATTTATTCAACATATATTTTCTTGTTTAGCTTGTTGAAAACAGCGACTATACCAAATTGAGTGAAGAAATAGCACAGAAAAGCCAACAGCTAAAGTAAAGTGTCTTTTCCTTGAGTTTTTAATACTTTTATCTTGTTTCACCCCATTTCTCTTGAGGTAAAGGTGTGGGCGTGTGGGTGGCCTAGATTTGTCATAGAAGGTTCCTTTGCTAATTACTCCCTCCATTTTGAAATATGAGTTTTTACATTATTTAAGAATAAGATTTGGGCTATATTGTTACCTAAGTATATTGCTAAATATAAATAAAAATTCTGTGAATGTCTTGAAACACACTTTTGTACTATAATAGTATGTTTTGTAAATGGCAATGGGAATGAATTTGTATATAAATATGTAAGAACAATCAATGTCAATTTCCATGGTAAGATTGGTAACGATAGCTGGTTCACCCCAAATTATCTTTTTTTATTCTTCACTAATCTTGTTGGGGGGGAAGGAAAGGGGGTGGGGGGGATTGGGCAGTAATGAACTTTTATGAAGACAAGCAGAAATGGGTATGAGATTGCATTACTACGGACTTGGGTATGATTGCATTACTATGGACCATTACTATGTTAGTTTGCTTGAAAATTACATTTCAATCTATTCCCATTACTGCTATTTATCACTGGACACTGGCTACCAAATAAGCGGTAAGAGAAGTAATGCTAAGTAGTGGTGCTTTTATAAGTTAAAGCTGATGAAAATCCTTGAAACATCACTAACTGTCCTTACGACGTGTTGTCCTTGTGGAAGCAGACATATGAGGGGAGAGGAGCTGCAGGGTTTAAGTATAGAAGAGTTACAACAGCTGGAAAAGTCCCTTGAATTTGGATTAAGACACGTCATGGATAAAAAGGTTTATATATTTAGGATTTATTTTGCTTCTTGATGTTACACTAAGATTTGGTGACTAATGTTATTTTTGTAACCATTCTATTGTATCTATCCAGGGTGAGAAAATTATGAACGAAATTGACTTACTCGAGCAAAAGGTTAGGGATTGCATGTCTACATGAGCATTCTATACATAGTAGAGATAAAAACGTATCACTACCCCTCCTCTAATAGGCGGTCTAAATATCATGAATATATATGATGACATCAGTAATTTTTACATATCCTAAATAAGAAATTAAAAAACATTTCCATTTCAAAGATAATTATAAGTTGAAGAAATGCTTTTTCTTCCCGATTTCCCATTCGTAATTGCTTAGTTTTCATTTCTACAGGGTTCTGAGTTGATGGAAGAGAATGAGTGGCTAAGACAACAAGTAAGATTGACATCATCTCCATATATAGTAACACTTCTTCATTTTATTACAAAAAAACCCTAAATTGTATTGATGAGATGACGAAAGATCTTATGAAAATTTGATTACTCTACTAAAGGTGCTGGAAGCATCCAAGGGCATACAGCAAGCTGCTGATTCAGAGAACGTCATATATGAGGAAGGCCAGTCATCGGAGTCGGTCACTAATGGCTATAGTAGTTCTTCTGGTCCTTCACAGGACAATGATGAAAGCTCAGATCTTTATCTCAAGTTGGGGTATGTTCAATTGCATTTTGTAAATCTTGAGTTAGCTTGCCTCTATGTTGTGCATCGTGGAGTTTATTCTACCCCATCGTTTTCCATACTTTGTATTAGATATTTTGTGGTTAAGTTCAGGAATATTCGTATCTCAATCTCACTCGATCATTATTTGTCTGTCCTTATGATCGATCATTGTTTGTCTGTCCTTGCGATCACATTGATCTTCAGAATTCTAATGGCTAATGGATTTGGGTTTTGGTGCAGATTACCATACTCTGGCTGACGAAGAGAACATTAATGATCATTTGCAATGAGCAGTTGTTACATATAATGCTGTTGGCCTATGCACTCCTTCTGTATGTGCCTGTTGCTCCCGTAAATATGTAAAATATTAAGCCATGTATGCTGTATTATCAATGATATTAAACCATTTGGTTAAGTAAGAGATGTGGTATCGAGCGACTAAAATGGGAGTGAATGGTGAGGTTATTCAGTTTGTTAGCATCTGCATTTAGTTTATTTAAGCTCACTTGTATTTATACACATGTGACAGTATCGTTAAGTAAAAATTAAAGTTTATTTAGAAATATACATTCTGATAATGTGATGAAGGGAAATATAGTATGTGAACTATTTTATTTATTTATTTATTTTTTTTTATTTTTTTTTGAGAAAGTTGCAATATTACTAGGAACTTACGTAGTATTTACAACTCTTACTCCCATTAGTGATTTTATTTATTGGATTTGACATATAACAGATCAACAGTTCACGTTTTAAGTGTTTTGTGTTTTTCCTCAAATAAATGATGATGGATCCCATCAAAAAAAAAAAAAAAAATAATAAAAAAAATTAATAATTGAAATGTATTTTAGAAAAGTCATTAATAAAACCAAGCGTAGACATTCAAGATTGATAATCGGATTTATTTAGGACTTAGGAGTGTATGACAAAGCCAAACATCCCTTACCTAGCCTCCCCCCTCTACTCTCAACCGTTGACCTGCGGAGCTGAGTTGGCTAAATCTGTGAGAGATGCCGATTCAGTAGGGTATTTTATCTTACCTTTGAAAAAAAGGAAAAATTGGCCGCAACAACACCAACTATTACAAAGGTGTGTGTAGTAACACAACCTTTCAAGGGCGCGGTCAACATCACAAAGTATGTACTTGGTTGCACATAACAACATGAATGACACCAATGAACTAAGATTCCTAAGGAAAAGTGAAATTTTCATTATTTTATTATTGTTTAAATATTTTTTAAACTTACATGATTTCCCATTACGCATGACTAAATTAGCCTTTACTTCTATTTGATATTTTCATTAAACACTCTTTAACCTCCACCATTAAAGCGAATTCCTTCAAAAAGTATTTGCTGTTATTTTCCTTTGTTCGCTTCATCAATTACTTTTTTTTTTTAATATATCGATCTCATGTGATTGATTTAGTTACCTCTCCCTCTCCATTTAGTCAAATACTAAATTGATAAATAAACTAAAATCATCCGAAAACCATTTCGTTCCTCTAAATTTTAGGATAAAATGTCTATTTCTAATACCATGCAAGCCCACAAAATGCTTCAAAATACTTATTTCTTCAAAAAGCAATTTGAGAATCAGATTTTAGGATAGGCCAAATTATTGTTGTTGTTTTTTTTTTTTTTGTTTTGTTTTGTTTTGTTTTCAATGTACAACACTTTAATGATGGAGGTTGAGAGAGATAGTAATTTAAAGGGAGAAAATTAAATACAAGAAGAGGAAACTAAGATAATCACGTGAGATGTTAAAAAAAAGTAACCGAAGAAGCAAACAAAGGAAAATAATGGCGAAAACTTTTTGAAATAATCCCTTTAATGATGGAGGTTGAAAAGTGATGTTTAAAGGAAATAAAACAATCAATAATGGAAGAGAAACTACATAGTCAAGTGAAATGGAAAATCAAGTAGGATGAAATTAAATAAAAGTATATTAAATTATGTACAAAAAGCATTAAAAATATTGAACGAAAATTCCACTTTTCGATGAAATCTGAGTTCGGTTGGTGACATTTATGCTGTTATTTGCATCCAAGTGCATAGTTTGTGATGTGGAGTGCACCATCGAAAGATTGTGTTGCTGCACACTCCTTTGTCATAGTTGATACTGTTGCGGCCAATTTTTCCTTAAAAAATTATATATCAATTATTGTAAGGACTAAGGAGTAACTAATGAATGATGTGTTATTTTTAGTTTTTTTTGTTCCTTACATCGAATTCTTATGGGTTTATAGTGCTCTGTATAACATTTTAAAAATTATTGTCCACCTTTTATATGGAGTACGAGATTTGTCTGTTTTGAAATACGGAGTAATTAAAAAGCACTAGTGGTAAGCTGTGGATAACTGCAAGTAGTCAAGTACAAAGTTATTGATTGATGGCCTTATTTATTGCTCTGCTAACCTTCAACGAAGTTAATGGTGGTCCATCTTTCATTCCAATTTTTCTTTTAAGGTTTTATAAACTTTAGCTTTCTTTTTCTAGAGTTATGTTTCATCAAATCTAGGAAGTGATTTTCACCTACACTTACATACTTCCATTATTGTTTTTTATTTTTCCATCATTGCATGTGTTTACACCTGATGACCTACCAATTTTCACAAACATTCATCACTCCGTATGAGATCACTCCGTTTGAGATTTGTCTGTTTTAGAAACACTCGACAAGCATTAGTGGTAAGGTGTGGATAACTGCAAGTAGTCAAGTACAAAGTTATTGATTGATTGCCTTATTTATTGCTTTGCTAACCTTCAGCGAATTTAATGGTCCATCTTTCATTGCAAATTTTCTTATAAGGTTTTATAGACTTTAGCTTTCTTTTTCTGGAGTTATGTTTCATCAAATCTAAGAAGTGATTTTCAGGTACCTTACATCCATTATTGTTTTCTATTTTCCCATCATTCCATGTGTTTGTGAAATTGTGAGAATTGAAACTCAAACCCGTTGCATTATTATTGTTACTTTCTCCATTTTTTAAGTTGGATCGCTTTCTTAAAAAGAAAGTTTTAATTCAATTGCATCACTTTCCTTTTTAACTAATAAATTATCTCTAGCTATGTCCTACCACATGAGTGTTAAAGCCATACTTGGTAAAGCATTATTGCTATTAGTCACAGAAGAGTGTTGGATGATAAGAAACTCGCATTTAGTTCCTAGTTTACTTATACAACAAACAAACATGCAAATTGCTACTCAACACGACTGAATTCCAGAAAAAATGGAACATCAAAACGATGACATTGTAATGCTGCAGAGTTCTGTTTACAAGCAAGTCAAAGAATGTGGGCGTACTGCTTCCTCATCAATCTTTCTTGGATCTAGAAAGGACCTTCTTCCTCTGTCCAAGCATGTAGTTGTACATGTGCGGACTTCCTGCAAATTTACATACAAACTCCATTAAGCCAAAGGAAAGAACAGCACAGCCAATGAATATAGAGGGATCAAACACTAACCTGGAACGTAAATTCCCAGGGTAAGCAATGCACCATAGTAGTAGTCAAAAGAGAAATTCCATTTGTTGGGCATCCTCACGCAGTACTTCTCTGAATTCTGTTGTAGTAGAAAATCAAGCAGAAATAACATCAGCTGAAGTTGAAGTGGTATGAAACTGGTATTTTACTCTAAGAGTACGTACTGGGGTAGGGCATAAAGATCACCATTTCTATTTTCACTCTTCATACGCCTTTACTAGGGTACAAAAACATAAAAGCTACTCTATTTGCCCGAAAATAATACAGTAGGTCACAATTTTTGTTTTGACTTTGTCAAAATGATAAACAACTTTCTATATTTCGCAAGTGAAAATCAGAGCTATTTTACTCATTGCCTCCAATGATATCCTTAGAAGAAAAACTACAATGGTAAGGTGGTATAAATTAAAGCAGCAAGGAATTTTTATGGTTTTTCTATTCCAGCTAAATTTTAAAAAAATAAACTGAAATCAAATGTGGCCCAGACAGAAAGGAGGGGGGGAGGGGTTATTTTTTGGTTAGCTAATAGGTGAACAACAGATCAACTTCTAAGAGAAATTTGCTCTAAGCATATTGAAACAGCTGGTTTCTATATTTCTAGAATAACAAAATAAGAGCATAATGACGAATTTTAGGGGGATTGTAAGAGTATGATAGATTTCTCACCCTGATGTAAGGTAAAGCAATGTATATCAAGCCAACTTCACTTGTAATGCCGGTTGGGTACAGCAGCATAAAGGTGCTATACCTGCAAAATGCAATCTAAGTTTATTACTAACAAGAGGAAAACACAGTACTCCTGATATAGAGGACACATTGACCAGCTGGTACCTAAGCCACTGAAGCCATGATGGTGCATAACCAAAGGTTTCTTTTACACCAAAGAAAGAATACCGGATAATCTGAAGAAAAGAAAAAAAAAAAAAAAGCCAGGATGAAATCATGTATAATTTTACTGCTAAAAGCAAAGAAACAATAGATAGTTCTTAAACAAGTCACAGGACAACTTTTCATAGATAGGGTCATTATACACAAATGAGAATCTCTCTGGATGTGATCTTTCTCTTGCATGGCTAGAGGACCATTATGCAATTATTAATCTATAGATTTTGTCCTCTGTCACGCCTTGCCTTACTTTAATATACTCAGATTTATTGGTTCTTCATTAAATCAAACATTTCTATGGGGATAACCATATCAGAAAATGTAATTACTGCCATTGCTCGATAGGGTCAAACTCTCAGTCTTATGGAAGACGCAATATGAGTTGATGCAAGTAAGCAAGACCAATGGATCTTTGGCTACTCCAATCAACGCTTCCAAGATGGTCAAGTGAAGAGAGTTGGATAAAACCCTCATATTCAATCTATTTGGGTAGAGAGTCTACATACCCCATGAAAGCAACATAGACACAAATCTAGAAAAACCAATAACCAATTTGGACCAGAGCAACGCTTTGTTGATAGACAACTCAAACCTCAGCCATTAATAACATGTTATACTTGAAAACCCTTTCAATTCTAACTGCAGGCTATTTATTTCTCTTTTGAATTATCAAGATCCTTTTTACTTTTCCATGTTTAAGATTATACTAAAATGAGTAGCTAAGTTTCTTAAATTAAAGCCACCAACTCCTCCTAAAACAGCCCTCACTTTTAAAAATAGCATGAATCCAGTACACAAAGCCCCTGCTCACGAAGGGAGTGTAAACCGTAAGATACCAGATCCTCTAATTCTTTGGCAAACATGAAAAGGCCAATTCCCAAGATACAACTACATCTATGATAATCAAACTGACTCATTACATTATAAATCTTCTAACACAACTTCACCCTTTACATTTACCTTTTTCCGTTTTTTCTTAATCACATCTAACAAAATGAAAAATACACACCCTTGCACAGAATCAATTTCTCAGTGTAGTTATTAGGAAAATTGTGCCAATCAACAACAATACTGAAGTAATCATCTAGCAATCTATCTTTAGAAAGCTAATAAAGAAAGAAAGCCAATAATCCTTCTTCCATTTCACATTGAATTTCCTCAATTCCATTTAATTTATCTATCATCTCTCTATCCATTTAGCATACTACTTCTATTTCGAACGTGACAATATAAGGGACAATAAGAATTTCACCTCTGTAAGAGACCAGCTGATCACTAAAGAGCTAACAAGGAAATGAGTTCGAGTCTGCAAAAACAAAAATTCAGTCACAAAATAGTTACACACTATAATCTGATTTATCTCTAATCATATTGTTGATATCTAAATAGAAAGAAATACATAAACATAATCAAATTAGGGGCTAATATTACAGACCTCTGGAAAACTATACAAAACACCCCAAGCCACATACAACCTTGAACCAATTTGGGGCAGTGTTGCACTTACAGGCGATCTCACCAAACCTTCAATTTTAAGCACAAACAAGCTCAAAATACTTAGTTATCAGCCACCCAAATGCATAAAAATCACTTCTTTTTGAAAAATTATACAGAATTACCAAAATTTACTCACCAGTTAAACCATGAATAATCTGATCGACGAAATTCCCCAAAGAAAAAAGATCAGACACCCCTAAAAAAAACTAAAACCCAGATATAATGATTTATGGAAATGGAAAGAGAAGAAGATAGACCTCCAAAACGGCGGCAGTTTGAGCAAGAAGAAGAGGCTTCTCAACGGCGTCGTATACATGCTCATAGCTTGACTCTCTTAATGTTTTTACAGCAAAGTACAAAACTTGAACCCTGTAATAAACAAAATTCGATTATAGAAATAGTAATGTATACCCGTCTTAAAAGTTCTTCTTATTTTGACTTTCTTTTATGCGACAATCACTATCCAAACACGAAGAACTTTTAAAGACGGGCGGGAGTAATATAATACGGAGTAAATCGGAAGAGAAGGAGAAGAACAAACCATCCAAAGAAAACAATCCAATTGTAGAGGGAGAGATATGAGCGTCTTAGAAGAGAGAGAAAACCCGCCATTTTTAATTTTCTGGTGTACAAGAAAATGGAGGAAGAAGAATGTGAGAGATGGGGGGAATAAATGGGAGAGGGAAAACAGGTGAAAAGATCAACTACTACCCAGATTTATAATTTATGAATGTAATTACACTGCAAAATATGTAATGGAATGCAATGCCTCATAAAATTGATCAACTACTCGTACTTACTGCTACAACGACGTGGATCTGAAATAGTATGCTTACTCATCTAATCAGTTGTTTTGGTTGTAGAAGTTGTGTTGCATCGTTATTAACGATGTTGTTGCGGGCTATAGTTTGTCTCTGCTTCTAGCCCATGAGCCGTGAGCGAGACTACATGGATCAATAAGATTTTCGGAACTAGAACGGGAACCAAAATCAGTTGATATTGGTTTAATTAAAGATTGGGATTGAATTATCTAAACAAAAAATGATGTTCATTTCAATATTATTTTCTAATTATGGTAAGTTATTGGTGACGGTTGAGTAGAGTCCTTGACTCAAGAGTCACATGGAAGACTATATGAGTTTTGTGCAATAAAGTGGTGCAAGACTATAGATATTCTTGATATGATATTAAAGACTCTACAAAATGACAAAATCAAGCTAATTTTTTTGCTGGCCAATTTAGGGGCTAACTGAGTTTGGAGTAAGTTTTGGGATATTGTATTGGAAGGGGAAGGAGATTTGAGGGAAAAATGATGAGTTTTCTTTCAAAAATCACTATTGTGGGAGAGATCAATTTCTACAATTAAATCCCTCCAATCCATTTCTCCATTTCCTTCAATCCAAACAAAGTGTAAGATATGTTACTAGGTCTAGTTGGCTTGCAAGCTATTTGAGTCTTGAAACTGTGTTTTTCAATCAAGTCAAATTTGCTTAGGCGCGACATGAAAAACTCGTGAGAAAATGTAAGTATCATGTAGATAACATATTATAGTATGACCTAATAGTTTATTAAATTTTCTTGTGTTGAAAATTAGTGACAAAATAATGTGTGATTAATAGTATTACGATCGCTGTTTTGTAATTTATATTGGTATATCTGTAGGGCTTAAAGTTTTACAATATTCTGTATTGCATAGGCTTTCATGGTTACTTCTATAACATTTTATAATTTAGAATCATACTATAAAGCAGCAGCAAGACAAGAAGTGATTATCATGACAATGCAGTTTAGCCATCAAACACTCACAAAGTCGACTAAGCCAAGATTTTTGTAGCACATTTGCAAAACACGAGTTAATCTCCTCCTTTCATAACTTCACATCCATTCTCATTAACACCAGAGAGTCTGACAGCTGTTAGAACTAGCAATATCTTTGCTGAAAATCTGAAATCACCACTTTCGTTCCAGATTAGTGCTCTTAACAATGAAAACCTACTAAAAGCAAAATCAAATGGTGTCCGTGTAGCACTGCATAATGTACTGATGTTACTAGTCTAGTTGCTTCAACTCCTGCTTAGTGCCCACTCCAATATGCATCATCGTCTTAATTTCTGGCAAGACTAGTTCATCAAAATCTTACAACTACTATTGTCAGGAGGGCATATAAAATAGCATTACAGCAGACACATGCTAATCCGCTGTGATCCAAAATTTAAGGAGGCTGAGGAGGCTGGAAAGGCAGCTCATCTTCATAGATGGCATAGATTGAAAAGAATGCATAAATAATTTTACTTGACAGGTAAACTTATGGAAGTCAGAATTCAGCAAAAGCATTCAATAGCACTCGGTATGATGCAATTGATGTTTCAATTAGATGATAAGAACTGTTACTCACAAAGTTTCACCTATTACTGAGGTTCAGTAAATTTACAAAAGGAAACTAATATAAAAAGAAAAAAAAGCCTCAGCAAGGAGGTCTACTGAGGGTTACCAAGAATTGAGTTTTGTCAATTATATTTCAGTATCAGTATGTACATGAAAATGGCTGCCGCCAATTCAAGTATGCTGGATCCAATAAGATATGTCTGTGTGTATGAGGTTACCCAGAATTATTCACTGGTAGAGATTGATTTTGCTATTCCGTAAAAAAGATTTGTGATTTACAGATCTCAAGATCCCACAAGCCCTTTAAAACGAGCATATGCGATTATAACCACAAAGAGTACCGCGCTAAAAAGTCCAGAAAGGATAATTACCTGCAAAACATGCGAAGACCTATAAGTACAATTGAATGGGTAACAGTTACTTAGCTAAACTTTAATGCAATTGTTATATTTACCCATTTAAAGAGGTAACCATGATTATCCATCCAAGTGTAAGGTATATTCATGCCAAAGATTGCAGCCACCAAAGAGTAGATTGATAAGCAAACAGTTCCTGAACTCAGGAAGAGCTCAAGCTGCATGATAAATTGATAAGCATTCACAAAGAAACAAATAGCACATATAAAAAGTATAGACTACCCAGATTACTCTCAAGTCTCAAACCATCAACTGAAGAGAATTGAGATAGATTTAGAAGGTTATAATTGATTAATTATTTTGTGGTTCTTGAAATGCATGTGAAACCGACAGTTGGAATTTCCAACCTAGTTCCCACTGACAGCCAACTTGCATAGACATCAACTTTCCTGACTCTCAAGTCTCAAGTAAAACATGTGTAGGAAAGAAAGAAAAAAAAAATTGTATATTTTCAAGCATTAAGAGAGGAAGGAGGTGTCCACACCTGAATCAATTGATTTCGATGATTGTCAAGCTGCACAGGAAATCAACTTTCAGTACCACCAAAGAAGGCATTCATGTTTCAGAATATAAACTTCTAGATTGAAGAGAAAAGATTTACTAACCTGAATGTTGATGTAATCCTCAGTGTCATCAATGTATTCACGAAGCTGCAAGTTCCAATTCAAAATCATCAATTTATGGTAAAAAAAAAAAAAAAAAAAAGGTTTTATGTGCAGAATGCAATTTTGGCAAACACCGTGACCCAAAAACAGCCTTTTCTTTTCCTCTCATATCATCTCTTTCAGTCTATATCCCCTTGGTGTTCATGACTTCTTATTAACTCATAAAAATTCCATCTCTCTTCCCCAATCTCCACTATTTTGAACCAATCATCACCACAGCTGTTGAACATGTTGAGTGGACTCCAAAATAATCAATTGAACAGAGATAGTTAAACAGGCTATGTCAGATGTTCACAATATTCCAGATAAACATGTATACACATAGATGCAAGAAGAGTAACTACAGGACTGCATAGTAAGATCTAATAGTTCTTCATAATACATACCGTTGTTAGTTTATTCAATGTCCCATCAATTTGCATGAAGTAAGCCTGTAATTCATATCCGGAATAAAGACATTAGTTATTCACACCAACCCAAGCACCGACATTCTTTTACACTTTGTGCATAAAATTGCAGGCAAAAACAAGTTCTAAAAAAGAGAATTTAAAATAATGTTATGACTCAGCACAAGATTTTGAGTCATCTCTTCCAAAGAAACTAATGAAGATTGTAATAACCTCTAGCAACATCTCGAGTTCCTCAACATCATTCTCATCACTACGACCAGTGACCATACTTGCTCTGCTTGCTCTCGACATCTTAGAGATAACAGTAGGGGAACTGGGAAACCAATTGGCTCCTGATCCGCTAACAGGTGAAGCAGGAACAGCCAGCTTTCTAGACAGGTAAAGGTCGGCCATATCACCATCATCATCCAAAAGTTGTTCAAGCTCATCCCTCACCTACAACCAATAATCACATGACTTAAACTTACAAGGATAAGCAGACATACAAACTATTTACTATGTAAGTCTGGGTATAGAAAATACAAAAGCATTATGAAGTAGTTTTTAAGCTTGAACAATGGAAAGTTGGAAACAATAATTGAAAAAAAGAAAGTCCCGTCTACACAAACTCTAATTGTAAACATGACACCACCCCTCTATCAAGGAATTTGATGAAAAAGTAAAAACCCTCTAAAACTGTGTTTATGGCTTATATCGAGTTAATAGACCTATACTGGGCCTATTGTAACTTTGTAATTTATTTATATTACAATTTTTTTACAAAAATATGGATCATGAGCCATAATACCAAAAAGAATTCGCAGTTTGTTTCAAAACTGAATTTAATTTCGGATTGGATTCATAGGCCCAGAACAGCGCAACACAAGACATATATCAAACAGGAAAAACCTTCAACCCCACCCTCCCACATAAAGCAAGAGGAAGAAAAGGTCTTCAAAAGATGTAGAGAATGAACTGATAAACAGTTGTATTAAAATGGATGAAAAAGTAGTACCTTCTGAACACGAGCAGTCAACCTTGTCATTGCACTCTTCAATTTCCTTACTCTGTCCAAGTTTCGGCTGCTTATCTACAAATAAAACAACACCAATTATCAAGAAATTGGGCAGAGAAAGACAAAAATACACTGAAATGATACGTTCTGAACACTAAGAAACAATAGATTACACCAAAAAAAAAAAACACACGCGCACACACACACACAACAGATATGTAACCATGGTATTAATAAGATCTACCCACATCTAATAACAGTTAAATTCACAGCACAATTACTCTCACGACAAAAATCAGGATAATTCAGGTCTCAGGAGTAGAACATACAGCTAAATTTTACTAGCAGATTAAATGTCACTAGTGAGGCCAAAACAAGAGAAAAAATTGATCATTTTCTAAACAAGCATAATTCCTAACTCAATAGACCTAATATCCAATCCACCTTATTTTAGGTTCTTAAGGCCATAACAGCCAAAACATTTGTCAAAAGGCCCACAGGGTAACACCCTCACCTTAGATGTCAGCTCATCTAATGCTGGGTAAGCAGCAGTTTCCAGATCAGTTGTACGTGCAGCAAGAAAGCTACAAATTGAGTCCAAAGCCACCTCAAGAGCACGGAATTCAAAGGGAGATTCTACAAAATTGACAGAGATAATCAGCAAAAAGAGAATTTAGATAAAAGAGTTGGACAATGAAGAAGGGAAAAGGTGACTAAAATAACAAAAAAGAACAAAATATCAACTGATTTAGTATAGCAAGGCCAAGACTCACAATTCTTGCCCTTGTGGATAATACTCAAGAATGAAAATACCCTCAACATTTTGCAGACGACAGTAACTTACCATCTTCTTCGGTAGCTTCAACATCATGTCCCCCCGATTCCTTCCCATCTCCATTAGCTTTAGGTGCAGTACTTCCAGGACATAAGCGCCTCTGAAGTTCTTGAACAACAGGAATTACATTTTCATCCGAAGGGTCTCGAAGCAAGACCTATAAGAATAAAAACAAAATTAAAAACCATGTCCTCAAGAACTTGAAGCCCTACTCTTTCACAAGCACCAATTTGAGAAAATGAGAAACACCAATGTACACAGAATTATATGTGGGCATTAATAGGACAATAGGACTGTCCGTTACGGCGTTACCCACCTATATAAATTAAAAAGCAGAAATTTTACTTGTTAGAACTATTTCAATAACAGTGTCCTAGGTCAACAAAACAACCCATACAAAAAAAACACTACCAATGTGGCTAAAAAAGGCACAGATTATTATAAGTGAGAAACACAAACAAAAAGTGATAAATGACAATATTAAAGATACCAATCCCAGAACAAATGCAATAAAATTTGAGAACAAGATAAACACACATGCGAAAATTAATATGCCACTAAAATAGATAGAGTCCAAACCTTGCAGATATCTTCTTGATGAAAACATCAGAAACCATATACATGTCATTGATCATTATTAGAGCACAACGCAATAATATAGTGCATTTGTCAAACCTCAGACTTTAAGTTGGCTCCCCATTACAGTTCCAAAGATAAACACACCCAATTAACTAATACCAATAACAAAAAGTAAGGAAATGAGCAGGACAATAATAATAAAGATAAGAGCCAAACACCCAAAATCATATATAAAGAGATGTTAAATTTTGTCAGTACCTCATCAGCAGTGATGATTGCCTTAATATGCTGAGCACCCAAAACACCAAATAAATAAATCAATCAGTAAGAGGCACACACAGAGACAAAAGGAAAAAACAGAAGAAAATTGAAATAATTTGAAGTAAGAAAAGAACCTCCAAATTCAAAACAATAGCTTTTTCACGACCTAGAATAGCAGAAGGGTAGGAGAGTAGAGGGTCTAAAATACGAAGATCACGAGCATGAATTTGAACACGGTGCATAATAGCGTGCTTGTCAAGGTCAAGAACAGTTGCATGACTAGAAGAATCAAGTAAAATCCAACTCCGTGATCCAGCAGGTTTCTTCTTCAAAACCACACTTAAGCTCATTTGAGGGTCCACGGGAACTACGTATCCTTCTCTACCCATCACTTTTTTTTTTTATGTTTTATTCATTCCTGCAATTAAAATATTACCATGAGTACTCTTTTCTTCAGTGGCACATCCGGAAATTTGAAATGCAGGTATAGCTTTAGCTTCTAAATAAATGAAAATATATTTAAGAACATATAGAAAGTCACATGTACATAGTACAAAATACAGAGTAACAGCCTGTTCGTAAGGTGAAATATTAATGGAGTAACAATAATGCTAAGTAAAAAAATTATAACTATTCTAAATAATTATAGTTTTGAACTGGTTGATGATATCAGAACAAACTCTCTATAAGTAAAAAAAAATTATTTTGAAATTGATCAATTATTCCATCAGTCACAAATTTAGGGAAATTGTTCAATTGCTAGAACCTAAGATAATCATTTAATTAGGTATAAAATTAATATACTTGATCTTATTTCCTTCTACTCCAATGTCCTGAATAACGAGGAAGATTTTGGCTTTTAGAGAGCTAGTGCAGCAACCAGGTGGTTGGACAACGTTAACCACTAAACATAGTTATTCTAAAACGCTAAAATGATGTATAAGCTTCTTTGTGATTCTCGCGTTCTAATGCCATGTACGAGGATCCTTTGCAATACCTCGCTTGTTTACATGATAGACTAGCTACCTCCTATAGGCTAGCCAATGAGATGCATAATTAGTACGTATTGATGTATCTTTGAATCACCTTTTCATTTAGTTTGTTAATCAACTAAAGTGTGGTACATAACACCAAAACAACTATAACACGTTAGGGCTCCTACAAGTGTTGATCCTAGCCATTATTTTTTTGTAGGAACACCTCTCCAATGGCTAAGCTATATGCCACTCCATACGTGTTTCTCCAACACCGCGTATGCAATTTAAACACAAAGGAATACTACGAGTAATAATTTAAGCAATACTTGCTTGTCTAGTGCTTGTCTGTTAAAGAATACATCCAGAAGACCGGAACTATGTCATAATGTTGCCTGTATAAGCCATAGGATTAAGGTCAAGCAACAACGAAAGCTTCAGCTACAATCTAGTATTGATTACTAGTGTGATCCTAACCTATTTTGCTCTACCTTCACAACACAAAATTCAATCTAGCATATAAATCAATGATTAAATATATTTCCTTGTTCAAGCAAACTTTCTGCTCATAATTTTATTTCCTTGTTCAATCAAACTTTCTAATCATTAATAAAATCAGAAACAATTTCACAATCCTAAAATTTCAAGGTCGCAAATCATAAACGTAAATTCAATTACTCAAATTGAACTCAGAACTCAAGAAACTCACAATCCAATCCCTAAAAACGGAGCTCAAATCAATTCCAAAAAGCAACTTTCATAAACTATCAAAAATCAATAACAAAATAAAATCAAAATTTCAAATACCTCGAATAGAACGAAGAAGACTGGCACGAAACACTAAGCGCTGTTCGCTGCAGCAGAGTGGGAGACGGCAGTCGGAAGTACGGCGGAGAAGGCGGTAGCCGGCGATTGTGGAGCGACGGAGGAGAAGAAATCGTGAGAGTGGCCGGCGATTCAGGTTCATGCTATCGAGTTTTGCAGGGAATATGATTGAAGAAAAAGACCTTCGCTCAGAGAATCAACTACCCTTTTGTTTGTATTATATGTTCTATTTTTATTTTTGGCGTTTCGCTCGCCGTCTCTACTTGGGGAGGTTTTTTTTTTGTTTTTTTTTTGTATCTGTTGACATAAATCTTGGCAGCTTATTGGGTCTTGAATGTGATTTGTGGCTTTGTGTGCCCTTATGGAGTTATGGTGAAAGTTGTGAAGTATTGACCCGAAATTATTTGGATCTCGATAAATTTTATGTATCATATATTCCTATAATCCGTACTTCATATGAGATAGGACTTGAAATTGTTCTTTACCTTGATACTTTGCAACTTGTAAGGCCCTATTCCGATTTACTGAAAACGAGTGAATTGAACTGAATTTAACTGAATTGGAATTGATTGGAACTGAACTTAATTGAATTGATTGGAACTGAACTGATTGGGACTGAACTGATTGGGGCTGAACTGAACTGAACTGATTGGAGCTAAACTGAACTAAATAGAAATATTTGAGTATGGATTAATGATTTTTTAACTATGGATTAGTAATGATATTAATCCACTAATAATTATGAAATATAAAATGAAGTTCAAAATTAATCCACTAATAGTTTTTTTTTTGTTTAAATTTTTTTTATTTTCATGTTAATTAATGCCTGTGAAATGAATCTACTGTAATAGTTTGGCTGTACTAGCACGTTGTTTATCAACCTAACGTAAAAATCAAGTTCATATTATTCATTATTTTAAAAGGGATTCTTCGTTGCTACATTTATGAGAACCCCAAATGCTAATGATGTTAGTATAAGGCAATACCGCCAACACATATGAAAATGCCTAATAAAACATCAAAGAAGTAGCAACAACTTCAGTATGAGGGCATTGAGGGGGTAGTTTGGGGTGGGGAATCCGGTTTGATAAGAACTTTTCTTTACCTTTAAAAAATAAAAAAACACTAATACAAAAAAAATAAAATGTGTTAAACTTTTTTTTTTTTTCTTTTTTGAAGGATTTGCAAAAAAAAATATATAAATAAATCTTAAGGGTAAAACAAACTATTATAATTAGCCGTCGATGGAGAATATATTTTTTTTTTTTTCATGGCCATCATGGCTATATGTAGATAGTGGAGCATGAACTTGAGGTGAGCTCACCACTCACTCTACCAAACTTGCATGACTAATCTGACTATACGATGATGGAGAATTATGTCTTATTTAGTACTCCCTTCGTCCCTTTATTTGGGATTTGTTAAACATCGCATACAAATCTCTACATAAAGCCCACAATTATTTTTACTTAGACTTTTTTGCCCTTTTTCTAATTTTTACCGAAACTGTAATTCACTCTCACGAAGAATGTGGAGCTGGAGTGGATCGCCGAGGGACACTAGAGAGCCGTCATCGTCGCCGGAATGCGAGATAATCAGGGGAAAAAATTACGAAAAGTAGGGGTGGCGTCTGGCCGGAACGCCACTACCATGGTGGTGGCGTTTGCTCGGGACGCCGCAACCGTGGCAGTGGCGCCTGACCAGGACGCCGCCACCATGGTTGTGGCGTCCTGGCCAGACGCCACTCCTACTTTTTGTAATTTTTTTTTTTTTTGTAATTTTAATTAAACTTTTTGTATTTTTTTTCCTTTTTTTTGTAATTTTATTTAAACTTTTTTTTTTTAAAAAAAAATTGTACCTTGCCTCCTTGAGACCTCCTTTCCTCTGCCGCTGTTACCGCCAATTCCTTGCCTTGCCGCCTCGACATTGCCGTAATTTGAATTTTTTTTAGAGAGATGTAGAAAGAAGATGAGTGTTTGGTGATGAGAATGAGAGTGTGAGTGTGTTTTTATTTTTTTTTATGTTAAGGGCAATATTGTTAAATCAAGTGAATTTTGTGGGCTTTATGTGGAGATTTGCGGGCGATGTTTAACAATCCACCTTTATTTTGCCCCATTGCCATTTTTTTGGTCAAACTTCGAAAACTTTGACTATAAATTACCGTTAATGTATAAAAGATAATATAGTCGTGAGTAATCTTGTTAGATTCATCTCATTATATATTTTAGGATATTTTGGTTTTTAACACCACACAAATATGTCTAAAAATGATTTTTAACACCCCAAAAAAAACTTTTATTTTAACACCACAAAAAATTTTAAAAATTGGAAGTTACCACCATTTAACAGAAAGTGTGACGGAAAAGTGAGGTGGGTCCCACAATTTTGTTTTTCCTCCAATTTTCACCTCTGCATTCCACGATTTCTTCCTCCTCCTTCATTCAATCCTCAAATATTACACAATTCTTCCTCCTTCATTCAATTCTCAATTATTACACAATTTTAGGACCACCACCAATCAACAAATTGATGCCCCAAAAATTGAATAAAATAAAAAAATTAGAGTGCGAAAAAGAGATTAAATGAAAAATCTCCATCAACAATCAACGGAGCATGAACCAAGGCAGTAAACAGATTAAACAAGGATGCACATCCAAACTTGAACAGAAAGAATTAACATTTGAAAGCAAGGGGAAAAAAATCACTGTACAAGGGCAACAATAATTTCTGCACACATCATCTAACCTAGATAATTCACACCAAACAGCTAACCTTACAAGAAAAAAAATTAATACTAATACACAATTAACAAAATGCAACTAACTACAGAATTATTTCAGGGCTAGTTCTTCTTGAAACCGAAACATTTGAACTTATCTTTCGCTGCTTCTGCCTCCCTTTGGTACTCCTTGAATGAAAACTCCTCCTGCTTAACTGAAGAAGGCACTTTACATTCACTATAGCATTGATTACACAAACTAAAGTGAGCTTTCATACCCATACCCAAAAATCATACCCAAATTTCACCGGTTTTCTGCCCAAATTTCACCGGATTTCTGCCCAAATCACCGGCGTTTATTGACCCTAACCCTAACTCCCGGATTTCTGCCCAAATTTCACCGGATTTCTGCCCAAATCACCGGCGTTTAATGACCCTAACCCTAACTCCCGGATTTCTGCCTAAATCACCGGGATCTGGGTGTGAATTCGACGGACTTTGAGCGGCGAAACTCGTCGAATTCCAGCCTAAAATTGCCGAATCTTCATCTACAAACACAGCCGGATCTTTACCCTCGAATTGCGTGTTTCTTGGCCTTCGAATTGCTAGTTCCAGGCCTTCGAATTGCTGTTTTTTCGCTGTTTAATTTGTCCGGCATTGTTGAAAAGAAAGAATGAAGGAGAAAGGGATCAGAAAGAATGAAGTTCGTGTTTTGCTTGGTGAAAGTTGGAGTTAAAACCAAAATGTGGGACCCACGTCATTTTTCCGTCACAGAAACCGTTAACTGGTGGTAACTTCCAATTTTTAAAATTTATTGTGGTGTTAAAATAAAATCTTTTTTTTGGGTGTTAAAAATCATTTTCAGACATTTGTGTGGTGTTAAAAACCAAAATATCCTATATTTTATTAATATTACATTTTTATAATTTTTACTTATATAGAAATAAAGATATAGATATAAAACACACATTTTGAAAACCGTACATAGTCAAATAAGGCAAAAAAATAGGGATAGATAGAGTACTTCAGTATTCAGTATTCGGTTCATTGATCATTTGATCCCAAAGTTGAAAAAAAAAAAAATCATTTGATCCCAAAGTTGGAGGAAATAATCATGTTGGGATTCTTGATCTTACAACTTGGATTTGTATTTTAGACCTACTCACATCACTTCGGGACAAAGGCCCAAAACTTTACTGGAGTCCAAGTGGGATCTCAGAACCCTAATGTAATTTAAAGTTTTCAAATAATTTTTCAGAACTCATATAATTTGGTGTTGGGCTAGTAGCCTACTAGGTGAAGCAATGCTTTTCTTTCATACTAAATAAATACCTGTTCACTTCACCTTAAAAAATAATATTCAGGAAAAATAATTTTAATTCAGTAAAATTAATTTCAATTTAGTAAAAATAAGTTCAGTCTGAAAAGTATAGAATGATCAGAGATGCTGAGTCTTATCCTCTGTTCACCGCGAATAAGATTGGTTCAATTAGCAATGTTCCTGCTAAAAGCTACTCAAAACCTGCTTGGAGGGGGTGTTCACACCCACATCTCTCTTTAATCAAAGTTTAGCACAAATGCTGAGAATAGAGACAGAAGTTTAGGATTTGTTCCTATAAACTACCACATGTAGTAAGCTATTGAGTTCAGCAAAAATAATTTAAGTTCAGTAAAATTAATTTCAGTTCAGTAAAATTAATTTCAGTTCAGTAAAAATAATTCAAATTCAGCAAAAATAAGGTGAAGTGAACGGGGCCTAACTTTTTTTTTTTGGGGAGCGTTTGAGAGATTTTTTGAAAACAAAATGACATAAACCTATGTGAGATTAGATTTTAAATAAATACTATCTTTTGTTTGTTGCAATTAATATAAAACAGAGATATAATGTACATATCCAATTAATCTAAATGAGCAAAAGTTTACCTAATAGACAACTAATGTTTGTGCGTGTAATCCTTCTATATCGTTCCAATTTATCAGATGAAAGTCGTTCATACATTATACAAAATGAAAAAAGGTCGTGCCATTCAAGTTGGACCGTCAACCAACAAGTCTAAAACTAACAATACACAAAGTGAGGTGTTATATTATCAACATATCAATTATTATCATATGAATGACAATGTGTTATGGTAAAATCATAAGGAAGATATGAAGGACATGCAAGGGATACAGTTTTGTACCATATGCATGTTTTACCATCTTAGAAAACGAAGATGTTATATATATATATATTCAAAACATTATTCAAGCATCTAGTCGTAACTAAAGTACCAAAATAGAATTTGCATGCATATAATTCAGTTATTATGTTAGAAATTAAAATTTGTATAACTATATATATAGAGAGCTCATGCCATTTATCTTCATAAACTTCATACATACTGAAAGCCGAGAAAATAAAAATGGAGTTGCAAATTTTATTGGTAATGGTAGGAATAATATTAGGGTTAGGGATGGTGGTAGAAGTAGAAGGAAGATCTCCAGTGTTGCATGAGGTCGGAGGAAGTAGGTTTGGTTGGAGGCTTAATGTTAACTTTTCTAATTGGGCTGCTAATCAACATTTTTATGTTGGTGATTGGCTGTGTAAGTATTATTTTACCCTAATTTCCTCTCTTTTTTTCCATGCTTTTTTTTTTTTTTTTTTTTTTTTTTTTTTAATTTTTATTTTGGAATAATAACATTAAATTTCTTATAGTTTAGAACTTAGGTTTTATTACTGAACCATGCATAAACTCAATATTTTATATACATGTTTATATATAGGTCACGAGTTTATGTATAGTTTGATATTTATTGTATTACACTCATAATCGTGTGATACAGTAATTAGTTTGAGTGCAATGAATACATCCAGTAAATTAAAAAGTATTGTGATAATTGGTAAGCTTTCTTAGCTTGTGACTCTTTTTTCCCTTGATTTCTAAAATATATTTCTGCTTTTACAAGTACTCGTAGCACATACACTTTGACACACTTCACTTAGCTTCTTTGCATCAATTGACAACTTTTTTTTATTTTTTTTAATATATATCTTAATCATATGGGTATCAAATATCAATTGACAACCTGTCATACCATTAAAATGTGCAAACTTGCTGTATCAATCCCTAATTAAGAAAGTTTCCTTGTTAATCCTATCAGAATGTTACTTGTAACAACATGCATCTGACAAGTTAATAATAAGTCGTAGCAATCAATTTTTCTGCATGTTATAAATTGATTTATTTCCTTCAATAATTTAAAGTCTTCTGACTTAACCATAATATAATTACTCCCTAATTGACAGATTTAATTAATTACTAATTCTAATTTAATTTAATTTAATTTTTTGACAGATTTTGGGTTTGACAAGAGGATTATAAGTGTACTAGAGGTGAACCAAACAAATTACAAAAACTGCATAGAGAAAGACTACATAACCAACATAACAAGAGGAGGAAGAGATGTATTTAATCTAACGGTTGCGAGGCCTTACTACTTCATCAGCGGTCGAGGTTACTGCTTTCGTGGGATCAAACTTGCAATCAACGTTCAAGATGCTCCATTGCATCCTACCCTCCCTCCTACTTCTTCTTATTCTCTCACCAAAACAAGCCCTAATTCTACTCTCATCACGTCTCATGCCACCACCACCACCTACTACCGATTGTTCGATCATTTTCTCATCACGATCATTGTCATCATCGTGTCTGTAACAACTAATCGGTCCTTTGTTAATTAGTAATGCAATATTCCATTGTCATCATCGTGTCTGTAACAGCTAATCGGTCCTTTGTTAATTAGTAATACAATATTCCATCAGTTTCAAATTAATGGTCACATTGATAACGTAACCTGACTTTGTAACGTCGTGTATTTATTATTTACGTGTTTCTTAGATATTATTCGAGGATTTGAGTAGGGTACACTCGATTTGCTTGTTTGGTGTTTCATTTCTATCAAATTAATGTTGTAATATATATTGGTGGATGTGATCATTCAATGTACCACACTACCAAGGATGGTACAACAAGTTTTCATATGAAGTGTCCAAGAAATTTGATTAATCACATCTTCTGTACGGTTATCGTGCTTTTATTATTAATTTTTGGTGTGATTCAAATAATTGCTGATACTCCGGCCCCTTTTTAGTTCCCACCTAAGAAAATAGTACACCCTATATGATTTGATATTACTATATGGTTAAATATGACCTTATTTAACTTAATTATGATTATTAGCTTAATTAACTCCGCATTATAGGTAAGTATTCTAAGATAATGATTTAAATTTCTGTCATTTGAGATCAGTGCCGTTTAAAATACACTATAATCTTCAACCGAGGCTTTAGTGTCACCTTTTTTAAGGGGTAATATAATAAATATTATCCACAATCCTAAAAAGAATTTTATGTCATGGAAGCGCATAGAATAAGATGAAGACTTTGTATAGAGAAATCATGAGCATTAAACAATAATATAGTACGACCGCAAATGATATCTACAATCCTTCATACTTCGTATTGTTTTTGATTGTTTTAGTTTTGGAAGATGTACACCATCAAATAATTGTTTGAAAAGATAAATCGCACTCTCAATGATTTTTTTAATCATATTTTATTCAATAAAGAGTATTCCTTAGCAATAATGTCAATAGTAATACTAATATAGAAAAGTACTCCATACATATTTTAGGTTGTTACAGTTACATATTCAAATATGGATATAAATTCCTAACAAAAAATTCATATATAAGCTATGTTCTTAACTCTCAAACCTATCCTTACACGAAATTCGGAAAAAAATTGACAATTATACGAATCACACTAAAAATAAATAATATATGGAGTATAAATGTCAACAAGACTTGCCCCTCTTCAACAACTACATTACCTTCGTTTTAGAAAGGCAACAATATTTTTTTAATCTTAACAATTAACAAAGTAGCGTGCCAAGGTGACAATGTAATTATTAATGTCAAATAACCCCTTTGCCTCACATTATCCAACCAAGGGATGTTAATAAACTGAGCTAAGTTAAGTCCGAATTCGTCAGAGCTAAGCTTCATAAGAAAAATATCTCGAACATGTCTTGAGCTCATCCGAGTTTTCTATTCACCTATTCGAGATCAATTAGTTTATTTTTTTTTATTGTATAAAGGTTTTGCATGTAGGGTTGTTAAACAATCAATTTTATAATTGAACGCAAACGATCCATTTTTTAGCATAAGCAAGTCAAATAAAAAATTTTAGCGCTATGCTTCTTTGTGTTATTAAGCAAGCTTGTTTGTCAACCTAATAAACAAACTTCCACCAAGATTCGATTGAGCTTATTTGTTTACTAACGTATCAGACTATTGGCTCTTTAACTATCCAATCCAACTCAAACCGAACATCTCAAAACAACATCTGTGACACCATGACAACTCCAATTAATTACCAAATGACAAAGAAAGTTAGCATGTTGATATATTGAGAATGTATAAACCAATAAATAGTCCATAATAGTAGACTCATAACTCAAAGCTAGCGTAGTAGAGGCTACACTATACCGTTATATGCGGTCCACACGCATAAAGGTGGAGATTGAAGAAGTTGAGTCGTGAGAAAAGTGTCGGTGACACGAGCATAAACCACCCAACTGTCCCTTCTCTGTTTGCAATAATGATTCATAACCATTATCAATTTTTACACCTTTTCTTCCCCTTTTTTTTTTCATTTTATTTTTCCTTTTGTTTTTTTTAATAAGGGGAAAGAACCCAAAACTTTATTTTTTGTTTATTTTTAATTTTTGCACCTACCAATAAAATCCAAATTCCTTGACCATATTAGCCACCTCCTTTTCTTCCTCTCTCCTCATTTTTTTTGTCTTTTGAGGTGTCCTTAATTCTCCAAAATATACCCTTCAATAAAAACTCCATCTTTTTCACCTTTTTCACTAGTATATCCGTTGTAAAAACAAACTTTCATCATCTTCTTTATATATCTTCCTATAATACAGTTCGGAAAAAAAAAAAAAAAAAATCCCATGAATTCAGTTGTATTATATTCCAATTTCCAACCTTTCTTTCTTCATTGTGTACCATGTGAATTGGGACTGTGACTTAATAATTAAAGTCCTGATTTTTTTAGTGTTCTTTCCTTTTATGGCGCTTATTTCCCAGTAATTAATACCCCTTTATAAATCAGCTGTTTTTTTTAGAGGGAAATTTAGAAATTGATTTCTTCAGTTAGGGTTCTTCTTTAATTTTTCCGGGGTTTTCTTTAATTTTTCTGGGTATTGTTAGATTTTCCTGAATCTTCAACTGGGTATGTATAGTAATACAATGAAGTTCAGAAGAAAAGATGAAGTGGGTTTCTTGTTGATGCTGCTGATTTTCCCGATTTTATTGGGTTCTGCTGATAATTCTCCTAATCTATACTCTGTATGTTCTTACTCTTCTTCAATTCATTTCAATTTCATAAAATTGCTATTAATTTTATTATTATTCTCTGATTTTAAGTTTTTAATTGGGTTAAATTTTATAGATATTGTGATCTTGATGTGTTTTAGATAATTATAATAATTCTTTGACTTTCTCAATGTGAACTAGTTGACAAGAGTCTTAGATGTGAAGACCAACGATAGTTTTAGCAAAATTTAACTCTTTATTAATGGTTGTAAATGGCTATATTTCTTTCTCTTTGGAGTAATTTCATTTAATTTGTATAAATTGGGTAATTTTTATGATATAATTGGTCATATTACGCAGAATTAATGCAAGGCATTGAACCTTTTTTTGTTAGATTATTTGATTAAAGATTGCTATTTTGCTATAATTAGTAAATATAATATAAGAAATTGAATGATTCTACGGTTGAGATGTCAAGTGCTGGAGGAATTTTTGTAGCAAAATGTTTTCTTAGAATTAATAAGTTGATAATTATGTAGCGTCATGTTGATTGGGACAATTACATTATAGTGTGTTGATTTTGCTTAATTTGTGTATTTTGGGAGTAGCTGTTTGTCTCTTTGCTTCAGCATGTAATGGTTCATTTTTATACCTATTTTTAGACCCAATAGCTTTAAAAAAAACATATTTATAGATTTTATGGGTTTAATGATCTCATAGTAGGTGAATGATGATGTCAATTGAATTCTATTGGTGATAGTTGAGGTAGCATAAGCGTGCGAGCCTCCTAATCTTCTTGTTAGGTGGGAGCGCTAGTAAGCAGCATTTGTTAGTTGTTTCCTAGCTAACAATAAGGTTCATATTAGATTTATGTTCAACTATAAAGAACATTGAATAAAAATGGTTCACGGGATGCTCTTTTATTAGTTTTGGTGGTTCTTGCTCAGGATTATTCTATGTTTGGCTTTTCTAGCAGCAGATTTAATGTCGAGCAAAAAAATAGTAAAAGCATATTGCATTTATGTCGCGGTTTTTGGTTGATGCTTACAGCTTCTTGCTAGCAGTGCTCTTCGTTGATTGGTCTGTTCTTATGACATAGGCAGCTTGAATTGAACTGTACTACTTGTTTTGGAAATTCTTAGCTAGTTACTGATACCTTTTTATCTAATTCCCTCAAGATTAGATGTCCCTTTCTCAAACTATAGGGTGATGCGAATAATTTTGGGATGGTCTTTTAAAATGTGCTATGTGCATATTGAAACTAAACTATAGTTTGGGGAATTAGAGGTGCTGACTGCTGACTGTGAATCTCTTTACCATGGCAGGAATGGCTGTCTGTAAAACCTCGACACTCAAATCTTCTGAAAGATGCTCTTAAAAGTGAATCTGTGAGTAAATATCTATTGGACATCATCTCATTTGATACTCCTTGTTTGTCCTTTTTTTTTTCTCCCACAATCTGATATCTTTTACGTTGTTTTCCACTTCCTAGTCAAACGACGAGCCTTCCGAACTTTGGTCCCCGTTACCTGATCAAGGATGGAGACCATGTGGAATAAGTTCTAAATCTGGTGAGCATTTTCCCTGCCTTGGAAGATTTTTTTTTTTTTAATTAATTCTTTCGTTCAAGTTGTGACTTGTGTTGATAGTCTCTCATTGGCCTTTTCTTATTTATGCAGAAAAGCCAACTAATTCATCTGGATACCTCCAAGTATTTCTTGATGGAGGTCTGAACCAGCAACGCATGGGGGTAAGTTCTAGAGATTTGAAGATATTTGCCAACTATCATTTTCTTTGTTTTTTGTCTTAATTTGAGATGCTGTAACTAAGAATTTGTAACTTTTTCCAGATATGTGATGCTGTAGCTGTTGCTAAGATTCTGAATGCGACATTGGTGATTCCCCTACTTGAAGTTAATCCTGTGTGGAAAGACTCGAGGTATAGTATTTATGAATAAGTGATGCAATACATATTCTTTCGGGATCTAAAATTTGTTTATGGAGTCAAACTCTGAAGTTGCATTCAATTTCTTTTTGGCAGTTCATTTGAAGAAATTTTTGATGTGGATCACTTTATTGATGTCTTAAAGGATGACATTAACATAGTTAAAGAGCTACCATTTGAGTATGCATGGAGCACCAGGGAGTTCTATTCCACTGCTATTCGTGAAACCAGAGTTAAAACTGCACCTGTGCATGCTTCAGTTCATTGGTACTCTGAGAACGTGCTGCCTGTACTTCAAAGGTGATGCACGGACTGTTGACTTGATATATATTTTAAGCTTTATGCTATTCAAGATGTCCATTATGTAAACAAAGCAGGCATCATGTTTATAAACAAGCTGTCACACTTCATGTTAATGATGTCACATTAACATTGAGTGAGTAAGTGTAATACTAGGAATAGCATGTCAACTAGGGTATAAGACTGCAAGGCTCTTTTTTTGTTTTCTAAATGCAAATGAAAGTGGAAATTTTGAAGTTTTAATAACTTGAACAACGCTAAGGCTAGTGGAAATATAATTATCTTTGCAAGCACTAACGCTGTTTCTTTGTTTGTGTGCTTCAGCTATGGGATTGCTGCAATTTCCCCTTTTTCTCATCGTCTAGCTTTTGATAACATGCCTGAAGACCTTCAACGCCTACGCTGTAAAGTT